AGAATAAAGTTGCAACGAGAAAAGTCATAAAATTGCAAGAAAAAAGTCTATTATGAGAATAAAGTAATACAATTATGAGAATAAAATCGTAACTTTACAAGAATAAAGTCGTAATTTTAAGAGAAAAGAAAGTTGTAAAATTATGAGAAACAAGTTGCAAAGAGAATAGTCATAAAATTACGAGAAAAAAGTCCTATTATGAGGATAAAGTCGTAATTTTAAGAGAATAAAGTTATAAAATTGCGAGAAACAAGTTGTATATTATGACAACTCTTACAAGAAGCATTTTCTCAAATAAAATGAGAAATGTCGAGCATTATGTGAAGTTATACTTTGGCTCTGGTTTGACAAATAAAGAAATCTTTTAGCGAATCAAATTGGGCAGTGGGTCAAAGTGAACTCAGCTTGCTGATTGGTGGAGCTGGTCAGAGCTCGACGCTTTCTTTCGTCAACAGGTTGTTGTATGATGACTTTATTCTAGTAATGTTACGACTTTATTCTCAAAATAAAAAAAATCTCTAGCCTGGCCCTAATACCCCCCCGTACCACCCCATAGCTTTTGCATTTAAGCTAAAATTCTACATAACGGCCTCACCCGAGTACACTATATATGTGCTGACTTCCCTATAGGACTGAAGACAAACTGCAAAGAGAACTTCTGATCGGTTTCTTCTCTCTTCTCTGACACAAACAGCAGATTTAAGGAAGGTAACACAACTGTTGTCTTTCGAACAGATGTTAACTCCCAAGCTGCAGGACAGACAGTTTCCAGAGTCTACATATTTGGTTCAAAGTCTTTAGGGCTGGGTAAAAAAAAACGATTTAATCAATTCCTTTACATTTTTGCAAAATCGATATCTAGGGAATGAGATCGATTCATTTTATAGTGACCCACGTGACGTTCACATTCAAATAACCAGGAAAGATGCACTCAAGATTACTTTAGACAGCTGCAAATATAGCCAATAGGTTGACTGAAGATGTTAACCAATTGGGGCTGACCAGAAAACATCCTGTAGTTGTTACAGACAATGCTGCACATATGGTTTGTGCAGAGGAGATAATGCAGCTCATGCATGTCTGCTGTGTCACACCTGCTTGCTCGAGTGAGGTGCCACTTTTTCACTTTTCACAAACAAGTTTGCACTTTTGAGACAGTTTTGTTCACATCTCAAGTTTAAACTGTCTGATTTACAAGTTTGCACTTTGTGTTTAATGTGACGGGAAAAAACAAAATAACATGAGTATTTTGAAACAAAGTTGAACCACTTTCGTTATTGTAAAAACAGATCAAATCGAAATTAATTGATTTGGAACTGTATGAATCAAAATCGAATCGATTCAGGACTTTGGCGAAAATACCCAGCCCTAGTTGCCATCCGTTCCTTAAAATATGGGATCATCCTTTATTGATTGGCTGCTGCCATCAACGCCTTTGTTTATAGATGTTCGAGATCTTTTTTTTTTTTTTTT